TTAAAATGAAATTCTAGCCTTATATGAAGGATCATAATCACAGGTTCTAAACTGAATGGAAGGACTGGTAGAAATTGAATGATTATGAAGCTAAAAGGCTCTTGAGAAAATATGTAGCAGATGTGGCTTTGGATTGTAGGGTTTGGACAATCATAAACTATGAGGTTTATTAGATATTTGTAGGGGAGCTATGTTGGTTCAAACAAAAGGGCTGAGCTTCGAAAGCTGACATAATAATGGCAGTCAAATTGGCCAGCCCATGGGTTGCTACCAATTAGGATTAGTCAACTTTAGGGGCCTACTAACTAGCTCCAATGATAATGTGCCATACAGAGCAGGTTAGGGAGCTTGCCATACTTGTTGGGAGTGCTTGGTTTGCTTAGGCTGCATGGGTTAGAGCCCAATGGCTAGCTCAAAGTTAGTGAAAGTTGAGAGCTTGGAAGCTAGATGAGCAAAGTATTGGATTGAATGTGCTTGGGCTAGGCTTAATTAAGTTGATTTTAGCCATAGAAATTGGATAATTGGACAATCTTTGAAGTGAGTTGGGTTAAGCTTGATGGGGAGCAACCAATGAGGAATAACCTGTAGAGTAATTGGCCAGGAAGAATAGAGGCATGTCGTTGATGAAAGATTTGGCAATGGAGACTTGAAAGCTTGGTGTTAAGGTGAATAAAACTAGCTAGCCATGGGTAAGCTTAGATGTTAGCTTTAAATGTGCTTTAGGACCTATTTAAGCAGGTTTTAGGCTTTTGTTGTTTTTTTTGGAGTTTATTCTAATTGTACTTTGATTAAGGTAGAATTAGACTTAATATAAGTTTGAATATTGAGATTAAGTCAAATTTAACTTGATTTTGCATTGAATTGGATTTAGAATTGATGTTAAATATCATGAACTTATTTATAATTTAATTTTATTTTGAATTTATGTGTGATTTAATAAAACTTTTGGTAAAACTTAAAGATAAATTAAGGCTTAAATTTAAAAGTAATATATGTAATTTTTAGGTCAATTTTAGTGGAGATTTGTTTTTTGTGCATTTGAAGTTGATTTAAAATTGGATTTATTTTGAATTTAGACTAGGTTTAACTTAAATTTGAGTATGATTATGAGTTTATGTAATTTAGTGGTTGTTTGCTCAATTTAAATTGAATTTGATTAAAATTCTAGTTTGATATTTTTACGTTGAATATGAAGTTATTTTTATTGATTTAGATTTGAATTTCCATTATATTTTAATTAAAATTATATCTTACTTTTAAAAATTATTTGATTTGAATTTATGTTTATCTTCATTTTGAATTATAAATTTCATTTTAATTTGATTTATGTTTATTTTAATTTATTTTATTTTTTAGATTTAAATATGAATTTTAATGTTAATTTTAAAATTTCATGTTTAGACTTAAAATTAATGAATTTGACTTCAATTTAATTAAATTTGATTATGATTTTAATCATATTTAACATTTTTTAGAATTAAAGCAATCATGGTTCAAAATAGAAAACAAAATGAAATGTGTTCATCTCTAGAACAAAGAATGAGTTAAAAAGAAAATCCAAAAAATTTGGTAGGTCCAAAAGAAGTCTAGGCAATGTAGTAAACCTTTAGTTTCAATGGGTCACATAAAGTCATGTCCAAAACTTTGTGGGGCACTCAACCTTCAACTTTAATACCCTAACCATGATCAGTTTAAACACTAAATAATTGGTTAAGACTTAAAGTAAAGCATATGCAAAATCAATGGGAGTAACAATTTAGTTTATGTTTTAATTTTGGTCTCAACCATTTACTAGTCCTCTATGGTAACCTCTAAGGAAAACTTAAGGCTAGATCCTAGGTTCAAAAATAATACAAAAAGGAAAGGAGAGAGACTTCAATTTTGAGGAGAGAGACCTCACTAAAAGTGAAATCAACAAATAGACCTCTAATAGGTGTGGTGTACTAAACAAAGTACACCATAAGTATTGGTGTTGACCAAACCGATCGATTGGATATAGGAACACTTAAGTAAAAGTACTTGAAGTAGATTTGAAAATTTTGAAGGATTTGAATGAATTTATTTTGAATTTAAATTAAAAATTTTGTATTAAGAATTTAAATTTGAGTAAAATTTGGAGCTTAAATTTAGCGGTTCAAAATTTTTAGAAAATTTTGCGATTGGAATTTTAACATTTCATTTTTATGAATTTTAGAGTTTTCATATAATGGAATCTTGCAAAAATTTGGCTAAGAAAATCTATAGCAAGGGTCATAAGGTCCCTAAAAAAGATTTGATTTTAGAGTTTAAAGTTGGGAAAAAATTTTTGGAACAAAGAAATGGAATTTGGAATTCTATAAGAAGACTCACCATAGATCTACAAAGCCAACCAAGAAGATGCTAACACAAAATTAAGTACAACCTCTTTGTTTGAAGGTCTAGAAGAAACTATATTGAAAGGACATTACGCTTCTTCAAGATGAAAGATCCCATCAAACCAAAAGAAACTAACCTAGAGGACATTACACTTCTCTCGACATGTAAATAGGATGACCGGAACATGAAGAGCAACCCTAAAGGACATTACACCAAACCCAAGAGCTAGTCACTATCAGATATGGATCGAAAGTTTTCATTGGACTCACAATCAACCTAATAGATGATCGGGTAAAATTAAGAATAGGAAGCACGTAATGCACACACCGTATCTTCAAAATTAACCCAGAGTGGGTATGTGATAGCATTAGACCAAAATAATACCATCTCAAAACTTGATTTAACCTGAATACATTAGCATAGACAACCGTAAAAGGTCATTATGTCTATCCTAAGAGTTAAATAGGGTGACAAGATCAGATAGAGCTTGGCTACCGATGTGAGACTTAACTCAATCTGATAGCTAGTTGAGAAAAGGATGTCATGAGAGGACTTCCACCAAGCCTCAAGATTTTGATTTGATTTTAAATGATGGAAAACACACTATGAGCTCACATCCAACCTAAGTTGTGATCAGAGAAGCTAGATTAAATCAAGCTTAGTTACTGATGTAGAGCCTATAATTAATTTGATAACTACTTTAGGAAAGGTTGTCTTGAAAGGACTTACACTATTTGATTTTTTCTGAACACTTTAGAATGAAAAGTACATAATGGACTCACATCCAACCTAAGAGATGATCAATATGACTAGATCAGATTGGGCTTGGCTGCCGATGTGGGACTTACACCCAATCTGAAAGCTTGTAGAGAAAAGGATGTCATAAAAGGACTTGCACCAAACATCAGGAATTTTGATTTGATTTTACATAAACAAATTATGATCGAAAGCACATATGGGCTCAAATCTAACTTAAGAAGTGATTAGGGCAACTAGATCATATTGGTTTTAGCCGCCGACATGAGACATACCTAATCTAATAGTTAGTCAAGGAAACGATGCCTTAAAAGGACATACAAAAAAAATAAAGAATTTTAGGACTTGCACCAAACATCAGGAATTTTGATTTGATTTTACATAAACAAATTATGATGGAAAGCACATATGGGCTCAAATCCAACCTAAGAAGTGATTAGGGTAACTAGATCATATTGGTTTTAGCCGCCGACATGAGACATACCTAATCTAATAGTTAGTCAAGGAAACGATGCCTTAAAAGGACATACAAAAAAAATAAAGAATTTTTATTTGCTTTCCCAATTTATATTTTAATTTTAATTTTCATTTTTAATTTTGCATTTGAATTTCAGTTTTTTTTTATATTCTATAATTTAGATTTTCAATTAAAGTTTGTTGACTACTTTTGTGATGTTTTGTTAAATTTTGATTTGCTTTCCCAATTTATATTTGAATTTTAATTTTGATTTTTAATTTTGCATTTGAATTTCAGTTTTTTTATATTCTATAATTTAGATTTTCAATTCAAATTTGTTGACTACTTTTGTGATGTTTTGTTAAATTTTATCTCTTTTTAATTTTAGTATTTCTAAACTTATCTCCAGGTAAGGGATGATGCACAAAGGCCCATGCATCTTAAGTAAGCTCTGTTAATTAAAACACATTATAAAAAATATTTAATTGTATTGAAGACTTTTGATTTACTTATAAAAAAAATAGGACATCGCTTCTCTTTTTTCTAGAGTAAGAAGATTGTCCTATTTTTTATCTTACTTTAACTCAGTGATTCAACATTTAAATCAGTCACATTTACTTATTTTTAGAAGAGTAAAAATATTTAATTGTATTGAAGAATTTTGATTTACTTATAAAAAAAATGGGACATCGCCAGTCTTTCTTCTAGAGTAAGATGATTGTGCTATTTTTTTATCTTACTTTAACTCAGTGATTCAGCATTTAAATCAGTCACATTTACTTATTTTTAGAAGAAATTTTCATCTCAAATAGTAATATTTTTTAGTCAAGAAATAGATTCTCTTTCACTGATCTTCAGTCAAAATGATGTACAATTCAATCTAAAGTAAAAATAAATGTTGTAACATATTAGGATGACTTAAATTCATTGATATGAAGAAGAAAGGAGGACAGATCATGTCTTATTTTCCTAGTCTTCAGGTGTGTAAGTGTTCCCAAAGCATAGTGACAACGCATGAGGGAGAATTTGAGGGTATAGTTTAGGGAGCGCTTCTAAAGTATTATGGACTAAAAAGAGAGGAGAATCAAAAGAATACCATTATATCGAGGATTATTTCAACATATCAACGTAAAATTGTCTTCCGAACTAGATTATTGTTGTTGTAAGCAGTATTTTTCACATGAAATTACTTATTAGTGTTAATTAAATAATTAAATCAAACAGAATTGCTAAAAAATTAAATTCTTTTGAGGAATGTTCACACCAAACCAATTTTAAGAACATGTGCTATTTTCCTGTAAAACTTAAATTACTCTAAAAAATCTCCTGCAATTAGAGCGCTGATGACGGGCGGAGGCGCGGAGCATGTCGCCATGTGTATATAATCACACACCCGCCCGCACACGCGCACACACACACACACACACCGACCCGCACACATTCAAATCAAATTATTTCCGAAGCACATTTTCCAGGCATAACTGCTACAAAAAAGCTGACGAGTGATCGGGAAACAGAGAGGGAGAGAGAGAGAGATGGCTGGGGAAGGAGGAGGAGCGGAGGAGGAGATAAAGCTCGATCGCACGCCTACATGGATCGTTGCCATGGTTTGCACCGTCATAGTTTGCATCTCTCTTTTCTTCGAAAGATTCCTCCATCGGCTCGGCAAGGTGACAGTTCTGTTCCTGGATTGATCCATCGCTATTTCACCACTCTCCCTCTCTTTTTTTATAATCGCTTATGCACAAATCTCATCTTATCAGCGGTTCATGCGAAAGAACCAGAAACCCCTTTTCGAAGCCCTTCAGAAGATGAAGGAAGGTGGAACTTGAGACACCTGTTCTCTTTTATTGCCCCATTTTTGAATTGTATGGTGCTAAGTTTTAAAATATTGGGAAACAGAGCTGATGCTGATGGGATTCATCTCGCTGCTACTGGTGGTTTTCCAGGGGGTGATCCAGAAGATCTGTATTCCGGAGAGCTACACCCGGCACCTGCGGCCCTGCAAGGGCGAAGAGATAGCCGGCGAGGGAGGCGGTGGTGAAGCAGAAGTCACAGCGCATTACCGCTCTGAATTTTTTGTGGGAGTCATCGGCGGTGGCCGGCGGCTGTTGGCTGGAGGAGGATCCGGCGGAGAGCACTGCGCAAGAGAGGCAAGTTCGATGCATTTCCAGTATTTTTGTTTCGCTCATTTTTCCCTTTGTTTTTGTCGGATACAATGACTGGGTTAAACAAAATTTCAAAAGCCGGGCCGCTTGTGTGAGCAGGTGGAAATTTTAACGTGCGTACCATAATTATTGAATTTAATTGTTTAATATAATAAAATATTAAAATGTTTAATATAATAAAATATTTGGTGTGGCATCCACACCTATGGTATGCATGTATGATCAATCACACTTATTATTTTTCCATTTAATAGATATGTATATAATTATACATATGTACAAATGCTCACACAAAATTCATATATATATATA